AATAAATAAATAAATAAATAAATAAATAAAATCTTTAAAAAAAAAGGATGCTTGAATAAACCATGGGCTCCAGTACTGACTGAGAGCCCTCCTGAGATAATGAGATGTCTCTGTCTCATCCTTAATGCCGTTGGGTAGCTAGGACTTCCCTCATTCCACACTCTCCTACTCAGGGTCAGATCCGGGGCTGTTCAGCTGGTTCCGATCACAGCTCCAAAGACATCAGTCTGGAACAGATGGCCTCTGTAATGTGGGACTGAAACAGGCCAGACCTGGGCACTTGAGTCCAGCTCTGATCCTAATGCTTACCCTGACCCTGAGTCCTGTTCTTAGCCCCACTGGTTCCCTGACCCTGAGTCTTGCCCTATTTCTGAGACCTGAACTGATCCTAAGTCCTGCTCTGTGAGAGACATCAGAGACATACACACAGAGGACAGGGCCATGTGAGGAGGGTCACAGAGACTGGAAACCCATGAACATAACAGTTTACCTAGCAATCACCAGAAGCTGGAATAAGCAGGTAGGATTCTGTTTTAGAGAAACATGACCTTGTTGCCCTTGATTCTGGCCTCCATCCTCCAGAACTGTATTACAGTAGTGGCAGATACCTGGTCATCTGTGTGTGTTTATGCTTGCGTGAACATATGTGTGTGGGGAGGGGAAGGGGTACATGTGTGCTTGCACATGTGTGGAGTCCAGAGGTCAGGGTTGTTGGTCTTCTCATTCCCCGGCTTATTTTTCTGAGGCAGAGTCTCTCATTGAATCTGGAGCTTTCCAGTTTCAGCAGTCTGGCTGTCCAGTGAGCTCCTGAGATCCCCCAACTCTGCCACTCCAGAGTTGGGATTACAGGTGCATACTGCCTCATTTAGAGTTTACCTGAGTGATGGGGGTCTTGTTCTTGCTCGGCAGTCGCTTTACTATCTGTCCCCCCCCCAGTACCAGGGGCCTGATTTCTAAGCCACCCAATTGGTCATTTGCTGCAACAGCCCAGCAATGTGTGAAATGTGTAAAAATGACAGAGCTGTGTCTTTGCATCTCACCCCACCTAGAAATGGCAGGGACTTTGCTACTGATTCAAGAGCATGTGAGGAAAATCTTAAGCTAATGAGAAGAAACTGTAATACTAGTATGGCTATCTCAACACAAAACAAACAAAATTCCACAGCCAGGACCAGGAAGTGACTGTGCCAGCCTCCAGCCTGGTCTTGGGCAGGGAGACAAAGGACATTCCATATCTACACACCCTCTTTCTCCTTGCTTCTCTGACCTACTCCATCAACTGACTACCAGAACTATGAGTTGCTATGGCTGTTCTGGAGGCTGTGGCTCCAGCTGTGGGGGCCATGGCTGATGTTCAGTGTAAACTGGCCAGATGCATTCTGGTGCTCTCACTGTGATTTCTGGCAGACGCAGTTTCCTGGGTGCCTCTGTGACCACTACACTATTAATACCAGAGGTCAAAGGCCCTACTTTCATTTTTGCCTTGGAACCAATGGACAGGAGACTAGAGGACAGAGGTCAGGAACCAGGCCATGCTTCTGGTCAATCCCTTTCCTGTGTCCCAGGTTCTGTTCTCTGCCCCACCCAGAGGGAGGGGGCCAGATGGACCCGTGAGGCCTCCAAGATGGGCTCCTGCTGACCTGCCTGGCTGGCTATAGACACTTTGCCAGCCACAGTTGTGGGATAAAATGGACATGTCCCCCCTCCAGGTGGAGCAGAGCTCACAAAACAAACTAACTGGAAGCTGGAGATTACAGCGCTGAGTCCTCAGCTGCCATTCAGGACCCCTAAGACACTGTCCTTGCTACAGTGTAGTCATATTGCATTGGCCTAACACTGCAAAACAGAAACATCTTCACTTGGGCTGAATGAGTTTTCACAAGCTGAGCAGCCTCCTAGACCAAGATCGATAACATTCCAACTCCCCCAGAACATGTCTGTCCTCACCACCTCCACACAGGCAGGACCTTGAATTTTCTTATCAAGTACTGGTTTTGCAGGGCTGCAGAGGAAGAAGTTTTACCGAGTATGCAGGAAGTCCATGGTTCAATGCCCAGCACCACGGAAACAAGATACAGTGCTGCACACCCGTAATCCCAGCAATTGGGAAGTACAGGCAGGAAGATCAGGTCATCCTGCCTACATAGTCAGTTTAAGGCCAACCTGGGCTACAAAAGAAGCTGTCTCAAAAAAAAAAAAAAAAGGTTGACAGTATCAACATTTGATTGTTGTTACTGCTCTCAGCAAGTACTAATTTTCCTGGCCTTTGGGCTAGCTTCCTAGCTCAGTGGGACACAGCCATGCTGTCCTGTCCCCAGTGGTTCAGATCCTTTGCTACTTTTGTGACCCATCTAGCACTGCATTGTGGGAACAAACAGAGAACTCTGGTGGACAGGTGAAGAGGTGTCTGAGTAGTCAGAGCTGGACTGGAATATGAGTAGTGAGAGCAGGGACTCCTGCATGGGAGAGGACCATGCAGGGAAAGGGTGGGTTCAGACCAGCTGCCATGACCAGGGAGGACAGCACGGAGGGACACTGTTCTGAGATGGGAGGCCAGGGCCACCTGCTCACAGGTGTGAGGCTCAAGGATGCATTTATTTTGGCATCCAAAAACCCCACCTGTGCCCAGAGACGCCTAAAGGAGGCACAGGAAAATTCTAGGCAGGACTACAGAGCTCCAAGGGTCTGAGCTCACACCTCAACCCAGAGAAAAGAAGTAGCTCCAGTTGAAGCTAGGAACGGAAGATATGCACTGGAGCAAGGACCTTAACTGACCATGCACTTTGTAACTGTGACACTGTGCAACGTAAACAGATTTTCCCAACGAAGGCGAAATGAGCCACCAACTCCTCTCAAGATAAAATAGATGAGCTGAACCACCCTTTGCCTTAAAGTTTAAGAAAACGCAACGCAAATGCCTAAGAAAGTCTTCCAAGTCTGGGTGCTTTCACTAGTGAAGTATATAAAGTTGTTGAGGAAATTATAACACAAATTTCACATCATCTTTCTCCAAAAACTAGAAGAGGAAGGGCCACTTTGAAACTCTTCTTCTTTAAAGTGAAGAGCATAATCAAGACCAAAACCAGACCAAGCAGGTTTAGACACATGGACACACAGACATGAAGAGAGACTCCTGAGGAGTGTCCACCACAGCTGCCACATCCCTGTCAGCCCACACCGCAGCCAAGCGCAATTGCTCCAGGAATACAAAGCTGGCAAGAGGTTGGGCATGAACATAATTGGCCATAAGAAGAGACTCAAGTGGCTGGATAGCCCACTGAACAGACCTCAACTCCATTCGCATGAAGGCAAAGAGAAGGGTTCCTTCAGCACAGGCCTGAGATGCCCACAAGACCACAACGGCAGTGTCCCTGAGGGCTAAAGGGGATCACTTACCCTGAGATCAGCAATACAGAAGGAAAGTCCTCTGTCACCCCCTACCATGACCCTGATTGACATAGCCTACTGCAAGGTGCCCAGGAGCACAGAGATGTCGAAGGGAGGCCAGGGAGACAGCTCAGTGGGTAAAGTGCCTGCTGTGCAAGCATGGGAACCCCAATTCTGTTCTCAACATCCACATAAAGACTGGGCAGGGTGGCACATGCCTGTAATTCCAGTGCTGGTGGATGGGTAGGGTCAGGTGGATCGCCTGGGCTCACTAGCCAGATGGTCTATTCAGTTGGTGATCTCCAAGTTCAGGGAAAGACACTTACACAGGGAAAGAAAGGGAAAGGAAACCATGCTGATCCGTGGGTGTTGATTTATGTATTCATTTAAATATTAGATGTGTATTGGGTATGCCTTTGTGAATTCAAGTGCACCACATTCACAAAGTGCCCCCGAGGGCCAGAAGAGGAGCCTCAGATCTCCTGGAACTGGAGCTGCAGATAGTTGGGAGCCTTTATGTGGTTTCCTGGGAGTTCAGCAAAAGTAATGAGTGCTCTTAACTGCTGAGCCATCTCTCTAGCCCTCAGATGTCATAATAAATGTGATTTAAGAATTCACATCATTCCACCAAAACTGCTAGAACTAGTAAGTGAAATCAAGGTCATAGGGCAAGAGACAAATTTTATGATTCACTATAATAGTGAGGAACAGTGAGAGGCCGAACTTATTAGAAATATCATTCAAAATGCTCGTACACAAATAGGCCTCTGAAATATTCATGATGTCATGCATTTTCAGGGAGTTGCTTCTTACCGTGGCAGCGCATTGCACTGCACAATGCTGGGCACAAAGCATGAGGACCCGGCTGGTGTGGACGTGAGCATCAGGAGCTGTCATCCACTGGTGGGAATGCAAACTGGTCCGGCCACTTGGCAGATGGTCTGACAGCATCTCACACAGCTGTGTTCGCCCAGTGACTTGTAAACACATCCACACACAGCCTTTCGTGTGGGAGTTTGTGACAGCCATAATTGCTGAAACTTGGAGGCAAGCCAGATTTTGCCCTTCAGTGTGGGGATGGATAGACAAACAGGTCTATCCAGACAGTGGATTATGATGCAGTGATAGAAAGAAATGAACTAGGGCTGGGATGTAGCTCAGTGGTGGGGCACTTGCCCAACATGCTCAAGGCTCTGGCTTCCATCTCCAATGGCACAATAAAGAAATGATCTATATGGTTCCTCAAAAACTTAAACAGAACTAACTACCATTCTGTGATTTGAGTATGGAATGTCTCCCATAGGCTCATGTGTGAATACTTGATGCCCAGATGGTGGCGCTGTTTTGGAACGTTGTGGCTCCTTTAGGAGGTGGGGCCTCATTGGAGGAAGTCTGTCACAGGGGGCAGAACTTCAAGATCCATTTCCTGTCTGCTCTCTGCTTCTGGACAGCAGAGTATTGTTACCAGGACCCTCTAACCCATCACCATGCCTTTGCTTTCCCTGCCATGATGTGCTGCACCAACGCAAACTGTGAGGCAGAATTAAACCCTTCCTCCCTCAAGTTGCTTCTAATCAGGATTTTGGCTGCAGTTACAAGAAAAGAAATGAATACGAAATGTAATCTAGGAATCCTATTTCAAGATTTGTACCCAGAGGAACTGAAAGCAAGGAGTCCATGAGGAGCTGTACATGCGGCAGTATTCACAGTGTTGCTTGAAAGTGGCCACAGTGTTCATCAGGGGAAACGGGGGGGCAACAGTGGCAACAATGTGGCCACACACACAGCAGAATTCAGCTATAAGGAGGAAGGGGTTCTGACCTTGAAGCCACTGTGCTGAATGAGACAGGCCTGTCACAGGGGAAACACACCCCCTCTGTGATCCCACTCCTGTGAGACCTTCAGAGTCATGGTATCCACAGGGCAGGATGAATACCTGTGACTGGGGATGGGTGCCAGTGTTTTATACCAATAGATCTTCAGTATGAGAAGATGGAGAAGTTCTGTGGCAGGTAATGAGGCTGGCTGCGTGAACTGCTCTTTTAAAAATGGAAGGATGTAGGGAGGTGGGGTGGAGGTGGCTATGATCAAGATACTTTATATATGAATGAAATGGTCAAAGATTGAATAAAAAGCATTAAATAGGTAAATAACAAAAATAAGAAAGATGCTAAATATCATGTGAATTTTGCTACACTATAAAATGACTGGAAAGGAGCTGGGGAGATGGCTTAGTAGGTGAAGTGCTTGGCTTGCAAGCATGAGAACCCGAATTTGGATCCTAAGCCCCCACATAAAAAGCCAAGCGTAATAATGTGTGTCAATGATCTAGTCTAGAGACAGGAGGATCCCTAGAGCTGGCTGACCAGATGTGCTCGCTGAATCAACAAGGTCCAGGTTCAGTGAGAGACCCTGCCTCAAAAGATAAGGTGGGAAGCCACTGAGGGAGACGCTTGATATGGATTCTGGCTAACACACACACACACACACACACACACACACACACACACACACACACACACACACGCACGCTCAGCAGAAAAATAGCCATGGAACCATGAACAGGGAGAAAGGCATCTTGAGTGTGTATTGGGAATGGAAATGAGCCAGTGTGGGAAGGCTGTGTGTTGTGTGAGCCATATGACTTTCCGGGGAAAGAGAAATAAATGGTGAAGACTGTGAGGCAGTTAGGGTGTCCCAGGAGATGGGGACAGGGTAGCAGTGGAGCAACCTGGATGGTTAGCATAGCAAAAAGTATTCTACCTGGCACAGTGGCAGCCAGTCCCCAACACCATACGCTTCTCAGAAGCCCCACACGTCTCCCACCAAGACAGAAATGCAGTGTGAACTCTGCTGACAAATGAATGTCAATGTGACTTGTGGACTGTGACGAGTGGGCCTCTCTGGACTGGGACAGTGATACTGGATAAAGCTGTATGTAGAGGTGCAGGCTGATGACGGGTAGATAGACGGAAGGACACCTGGCGGGAGGCAGGCAGTGGTAGGTCAGGTGGGGAACACACGTGCTTTGGAGGACAGGTGAGTGGGGGCAATTGTGTGTAGAGTCGGGTGAATGCTGGTTCTCTGTGCTCTGCTTAAGTTTGTTGTGAGCCCAAAGCTACTAAAAAAAAAAAAATGAGGCCTATTTTTACAAAAATCAATCAAAGACTTAGTTGTAATCTAACTACACATGTTCAGAATTTGTTTGCTACAAATTACAAGATACCGACTGGAGAAATCAATGAATATGAGAGCTGCGAGCGTGCCCTGTGGGTTTATTTGGAAACTCGGAGGAGTGACCAGGTCAGGTTCCAGTTTCAGCCTCACTGGAGTTTAATAACAGCACAGGGTGCTCTGCAGAGACTGACACACTGTTAGTGGAATGTATGTAGAAAGGGTAGAAGGAATATCCAAAGAAATTCTGAAACAAGAAATCAGTTGGAAAAAAAAAAAAGGAACTGAGCGATTTTAAGACTTTTGTGAAGTGGCAGTGGTCTAGACTGTGAAGTGGTGACGGAGGGGTGGCTGTGAAGATCAGGGGAAGAAGTGAGCCCAGGTGTCATCCCGCCACAGCCTCGTGGCTTCTGAGGAAGGCAAAAAGGCAACTATGATGGAGAAGAGAAGAACTTTTGTCTGATCTGCTACTATAACAGGATACCTGAGTCTGGATACTTTATGAGGAACAAAATTTAGCCCTTACAGTTATGGAGACTGGGAAATCTGAGGAAAAGACACCACTGAGGACATCATTTCTGGGTCCTCATATGGAGGGAAAGAGAAGTGGGCCTGATTCATTTATAGGATGCAGGTCCACAGGTGAGTGTGGAGCCCTCCTGATACAGTCACTGCCAAAGGATACCACACCATCACTTACAACCACATTACAGCATGGGTGTTTGGGGGACACAATCGGAGCCCTAGCAGGAGTGGGACTCTATTTCAGTGAATGGACCAATGTAATATCCACCTGTGGGGCAATCTTCCAGCAGCAGCATACCTTCAAGTGTTAACAAATCAACCACAGACCAACTGCACAGTATGCTTGTGCCAGTCCATGCCTGCATGCAAAGGAAAGAAAGGAAAAGAAAGACGCGAAACTAGAAATTGTCTCATCATGTCAGAGAATGGAAAATACCTTGTCTGCAGCTGGGCTTTCTCAATGGAGAGCAGGCAGTGCTCACATCAGAAAAGATCATGTTGGGGTTGTGACTCAGTTTCCACCTTAGGAGACTGCTACATGAGAAGCAAGAAATTACATTGAAAGAAATCGGAAGGAAGTAATTTTGAAAGATAGGAGTGAACTGCTAAAGGAAAACCAGCAAAAGCAATGAAGCCCAAAGACTGCACTTCAAGATTGGTAACAGCTGGTTAATTCCTAGATTGTTCAAAGAAAACGGAAGCAAGAAGACAGACATCCCCTACCACAGGTAAGAATTTGGGCTCGGTTGTGTAGGAAGATGGCTCCCAGGAGTGGCGGGACTGGCTCTGTCAGTACTGTGTACTTACTTGCCTCAGGCCCCACAGCTCATCTGCTAGGTCTTCCCCAGGAGCTGGCACCACAACTCATGAAAGAAGTGTGCCAATGGGCCTTTTATCTCCATGAATAAATTTTGTCTACCAGACATACAAAGAATTCAGCACCAACATGGGGACTCACATCCAAGGACATTTGACACGTGAAGTAAAGATTGACCATAAACTATGCATTGTAACATGTAAAAAGATTTAAATTTGAACAGTATTTCCCACCTACAATGCAATTATGGTATAAATCTGAGGAAAAAATAACTAGAAAATTTGTGTTAGTTTGATATTAGAAAACATCACAGATGCTACAGAAAAACATGATGGTGGATGGGTGAAAGACCCCAGCTAACGTGGGGTTAGCTCGTTAAACAATTTACAAGAGTAACAGAACTGTGCTGTTTTCTGGAATCTGAAAGTACTCTTAAATGCTGAAATTTTAACTGGCTTGATCTTGTGCAGGTGACACAGCTGCTGAGAAGTGTTTTTATCTGAAATCGTAGGCTAAACATATGAATTGTTAATAATGAATTGTTAATATGTGGCTATTTTGTGTGTGTTCCTATGTTTCAGGTGCCAATACGTGTGCTTATGTGTGTTTGTGTGTTCATGTATAGGTGGGCATATACATGTGCTTATGTGTGTGTGTGTGTGTGTGTGTGTGTGTGTGTGTGTGTGTGTATGTTTAGGTGTGTGTATGTGTTTGTGTATGTGTGTGTGAGTACATGGGGGGCCATACATCATGTATATACGTGTGGTTATGTATTTGTATTATGTATTTGTGTATGTGTGTGTTCCTATATGCATGGGTATGTACATGCATGTGTATGCATATGTCTAAAGGTCAAGCTTGAATGCCATTCCACGGGCACTGGCCACCAACGGCCTCTATCTGTCTATCTATCTATCTATCTATCTATCTATCTATCTATCTATCTATCCATCCATCCATCCATCCATCTATCTATTGTAGTTCTTTCATTGGCCTGGAACTCACCAAGCAAAGCCCCAAAGACATGCCTATTTCTGTCTCTCAGTCTTGAGATTACAAACACACCACCATTCCCATCTTTTTCTTTTTTACATAGGTTTTGGGGCTCAAAATCATGGAAAGTTCTTTACCAACTGAGCCATCTCCTGAGCATATTTGTTTCTTGTTGTCATTGTTTCTTTTGGGGGGGGCATGTCTTAGGGTTTTAATTGCTGTGAAGAGACACCATGACCACAGCAACTCTTATAAAGGAAAACATTTAATTGAGATGACCTACAGTTTTGGAGGTTTTAGTCCATTATGATCATGTTAGGACATGATGGCATGCAGGCAGACGTGGTGCTGGAGAAGGAGCTGAGAATTCTACATCTTCCAGGAAACAGGAAATAACTGTCTCACTGGGCATGGCTTGAGCATATGTGAGACCTCAAAGCCCACCTTACAGTGGCACACTTCCTCCAACAAGACCACACCTACTCCAACAAGGCCACACCTACTAATGGTGCCACTCCCT